AATATATGGAAGATAAGATATATTAGAGAGTAGGAATGTAAATGATGTAGTATTAAAATCAATCTAGGTCTACATAAAGAAATCTTTTCACCTGAATGGTAAGGAGGTAAGGAACTAGTATGCACAGTTTAACAAGAAAGCAGATGAGGGATGTCATAAGGAATACAGCTACAGTTGACATACAAATAATGTATACATGAAAGGTAAAATCCGAGCTAATTGCTATACCATGAGCTAAATTGAACTATTATAGCTTATTGATAAAGTAGTCTTTTATCCCTGGATATTTTAGAAATCTGTTGTGAATTTTGCTTCGATGTAACTATGTTCTCAAAATTATGAAGAGCATTTAGTCTTAGGATATATTCGATTTCACAGATGTTGTTTTCAAAAGGGATTGTTGTATTTATAGTACCAAAAAAAGGATAGTTGATAGCTGTTATGATAGCACTTTACTGTTTGTGACGCTTTTACAGAATACATAAATGCAACACAGAACTGTTTGAACACTAGCTAAATGTGCTTCTGTGATGCTAGATATTATTCTAAAGAGTCATACAAAGCTATATCATCTACACATTTTTAGCACTCAATAACACTTTTATTTGCTTTGTATGTGTCCAGCAGAGACTTAAAAAAGTAGACGCATTGTTGTTGTAGCCTGCTAGGATCTGCTTGTGTAGTTCTTTTTGGGGTTGGTGAACGGCAGTTGGTTGTCGAAATCAAGAAATAACTCTGGGACGTAGATCCTGCTGTTCTTGGAACTTTAGACATTGTAGTGCATTTCAATTGCTTTTTATTTAAATAGTTGAATTTTCTACAATATATTAGAGATAATGTTAGAGATATATGATCCCAACAAAAATAAATCTTATAGGTATATTGTATTATTGTAAGTTTATGTTTAACGGGGTAATTAAAACCCCGTTTAAAAAATTAAATTAACAATTATAAAATTAACTAAAATACATAATATTATGAATATAAAAAATTTATCAAAATTAAATATTAAAATTTATCAAAATATTTTTTTTTTGTGAAAGAAAATTCACATATTAAATAAATTGCTTATTATGTATTTATTATAAAAACTTTTATCTAATGTTAAACATATCGACTTACCGTGTAAATAAATAAATACATAATTATAATTAAATTTTATTTTTTTTAGTTGGCAAATATATATTTGCATATAACAAATAATTGATGTAATTCATATAAATATTATATTTTAAATATATTATAGAATATATTTCATTTATTTTTATTTTAAAGAAAGATTTTATCA